AATGTCAGCTTGGAGAGGTCCCTCAGACTCCCTGGGTCTTAGTTTCCTCACTTGTAAAATGAGGGGTTTGAGGACTGTCTTGGCCTCAGATTTCTCTTCCTGCTCTAGATATAGGATCCCCTGTTCCCTATGATCAAACTGTATTAAGAGTTTCTCCTGTGCCGGAGAACTTGCCGAAGCAAGATTTAGGAACTCAGCACCACTTCTGACACCTGGTGGTCAGTTGGTGACACTGCATGATCTGGAAACTACCTGGGCTTTAAATGGGGTCAGGGCTACCTGGAGTGTCCTGGCCCATGAATGGAGATTTCATGCATAAACTATTTTCACAAGACAGTTATCATTAGACAGATGCCATTATGGTAACCCAGCACAGTCCTCTGGAACTGAGAGGGTTTTGCTTCTTTCTCCTTTCCTGTGAGATTTGTAATATTTACTTAGACTTTTTATAAGGAATATAATGTGGATTAGGAGAAAGAAAACTGTACTTGTAGTGAGAAGGCCTGAGTTTGCATCCTGAGTCTGCCACTTACCAGCTGTAGGATCTTAGGGAAGTCAACTGCCCTTCCCCAGGTCTCCGTTTTCTCATGTATAAAATGAAAGGGTTTGGACCAGATAACTGCTAAGGTCCTTTTTAGCAAGGATAATTCAGTGATTCCAAGTGGGTGATTTATGAAAGGTTAAAGGACCAGATCATGTTCAGAACAAGGGAGTAGGCGAAACCAACTTCCCCTTCATTTTGTAGACTGTGACAGCCTAGCGTTCTCTGAGACCAGTGGGGCCAGTTTAGGTCACTAATCTCTGGTTTTTGACCATATCAGTTGAAACAGGACCTGGTTCCAATCTATGAGAGGGTGTGCTTCAGCCCCCAGTGGAACTCCCTCTGAGTGCTGAGTAAGGAGGTTAACATTCTCCCAGGAAGTAGAAACTGTTTGGTTGGAGGCTCCAAAACCCGGCTCCTAAATTGCATCGTGATTTATTTCTCTCTGGCACAAAGCAGCATGACCGGATTGTAATGCTTCCCTCCTCAAGCCGAAACGATTCTGGGGTGGCAGGTGCTGGTTACAGCCCTGCTCGAATGGGGAGAGCAATGGGGGAGAGAGCCCAAGCACGAGCTTGTTTACCGAACCCAACAGCCAAGGCTCCCCCTCCTTTAAAAAGTGCTTTTCCTTCAGGGTGACACGTCAGTGGTTTCTGTGCTGTGGGTACAGCTCGGCTTCAACCGCTCAAGTGTTTCTTGGATTGAGAAGTGTGGGGTGCAATCTGGTGCCTCTCCCTGCCAGCCCTCGGAGCCACTACCGGGAGAATAAAAAGAGGGAAATGTGGCAGGGAGGTCTCAAGGTGATAAGAGATTTATTTTCCTCTTAATTGTTACAGCAAAGATAATTCCCAAGGAGGAGAAAAGGGGGGCCTTTTAATGTTTCTTCCCTCCCCTGACATTGCCCCTTCTCTCAGAGTATTCATGTCCCAATGGTCATACTTGACTGGTCTCAAAAAAGAGAGGAAGAGAGAGAGAGAGAGAGAGAGAGAGAGAGAGAGAGAGAGAGAGAGAGAGAGAGAGAAGAGAGAGAGAGAGAGAGAGAGAGAGATCGTGAGAGAAGGCGCCCAGGTCTGCACCAGCATTAACAGATCTCCGAGTACAAAGCGAATGTGCCGGATTGGCAGCCGTTACTTACGAGTCCTTTTTTCTTTATTACATTTTGTTTGGTAATAATTGAGAAGCTTTTATGTGGCGCTCCGCATAAATGGCACTGAGTAGGAGGGTATGGACATGCTTTCTATTATTCTGCCCCTCATGCGTGTCTCCTTTTCTCGTGTTTCCAGAACCACACGTTGAGCCAGCACGCGCAGTGAGCTTCTGGCACTACAGGACTCCTCTCTGCAGAAGACTTGACGGAGACACAGTGGGGAGGGTCATTTGAGCATTACATCCAATCAAAGTGTCATTTGCAACCCAGATGTAAAACTCTAATGATTTGGCCATGAGGCGCTGCTATTATAAGCAGCTGGAAATGAATATTAATGGAAGAGATTAAAAGTATTCCATGCTCAGTATTTTTTATTGTCCCGCTTTAGCTAGTATACTTTGAGAGCTTCCGCGGCAGACTACGTTTCTAGCGTTAGAGAGATCGCTTTTTTGGTGCTGTTGTCCTTCGTTGCTTCCTGTATTATATTGATAGTTCCCCCCCCAAAAAAAAAATGAAAAAAAGGTTAGGTGTGATTTTTTTTTCTGTTCTTTCTTTCCTTTCCTTTCTTTCTTTCTTTTTTTTTTTGCTTCTTTGTTAAACTCCTTTTAAATTGCAATCCTAGGTAATTGTGCATTGTGATGTGATTGCTTGGCTATCGTCTGAATATTCCTTTTTAATTTTTTAATTAAAGACTAATGCTTTGATTGGATTTGCCAGTTCACCGGACAATGATTAAAACTATGTAATGAATATAATCGGTTTCAGTGCAACTGGATGGTCTGCTTTTTAAATGTGACTTAATCTGATTGCAATAACTAGTACAGTTCAATAAAGGGAATACATGCAATTAGTGTCTGGGTGTTTGAATCTGAGTCTTGATCTGCACACAATGTTTTCTGCACCTGTGAGTGTGTCAGTGTGTGTGTGTGTGAGTAAATGAGTGTGTGTGTGTGTGTGTGTGTTTGGGGAGAAGACAATGTCAATAGTATTGGTTTCCCAAGGGTAGGGCCAGGGATGGGGTGGATGGGTGGAGAATGTTCATAACCCACAAAACCTGACTCAGAACTGAACAGGGCAACCAAAACCACCTCTCCCTACCCTGTTAGCCAGCTCTCTGTCCCCCTGGTGGTGAATGACCATGTGTACCCTATTCAGGCCAAGCTCAGATGGCTGTCACAGGCTCCAGGCCAATACTTAAGCCCTCTTGCCAAGGAACAATCAATCAGTCCACAAGCATTTATTATTATAGGATTTACAGTTGAAAGGGTCCTGAACCATCATCTAGGGCAGGTCAACCCCCTTTTTTTCATGTGAGGAAATGGAGACCCAAGAGAAGAAGGAACTTACCCGAGGTCACACAGCTAGTGAGTGTCTAAATCCCAGCACACAGATCTTATTCATTCCAAACTCAGCACAGAGTGCAAAGAAATACATATGTGGGGATGTGGTCCTGAAAGGAGGTAACTGTTCTTGGAGGGCCTTTTTGGCCTGAAAGGATTGCTCTGTCTCCAAAGCCTGAAGCCTTTATTCTTACCTACCTCTGTGATGGAAATGAAATTACTTAGCAGAAAATATATATCCATACATAGAATTAGTTCTTCTGCTATCATTATTCTTACTAATATTCTTACTATTAGGAGGCAATGTCGCTTAGTGATAAGGCTGCCTTCGCATCAGGAAGATTTGGGTCCCCATTCTGGCCATGTGATCTGGGGCAAGTCAGAGCTATTTGATATTCCTAGCAATTCTCTAAGTTACAAATGAGTTGCACCTGCTTCATCAGTGAAGCTATGCGTTCCCTGCAGTGGGGAAATCACAGGTCCATCCTATGGTCCTGTGACCCTCCCCTGTGTCCTTTCCTATCTCCCATGCTACCATTATAATTCTGTTTCCTGAATCAAAAACTGGAATCTCAGAACTCCCCTCCCCCAGTAAATTTCACAGGAGGCAGGAAAATGCATGACTGAGCTCTGTAGCACTGGAATGAAAGAATTAGGCAGATTGATCATAATTATTATTATCATATCTAATAAACAAGATATTATATGGCACTTTTTTTTTACCATCTCTATACTTCCATTTTTTGTGCAGGGGGTGACATCTAATACCCCTTTTCACTGAAGGACTGAGTTAAATAATAGCAATGCAAAGGTATTTCAAGTATAACAATCATTATTCTGCATTCAGTGTGTGCATTCAATGGTCTTTAACACTTTTTAATAGCTGAGTGGCATCTATGGTTTTAGTGACACAGAATGTTGTGACTAACTCTGACCATGTTCCTCCCCTGCTCATAGCTTCTTATTTCCTTCAGGATGAAATGCAGATTCCTCAGCCTGGCATAAAAGGCTCTCCACTCTCGCCCCAACCTACCTTTCCACTCTTATTTTGAATTATTCCCTGTGACACATTTTATGTTCCAATCTAACTGGACTGCCAGCTGTTGCCTGACTACATGTATTTGTGCAGGGAATTGCCCCCTTCTCTCTCCCCCCATGCCAATGTAGCCTCATCTTCATTTGTTGGAATCTTCTTCATTCAATGCTCAGTTCAGATGATAACCACCTCCATGAAGGCCATGCTGATATCTCAGTTATATGTACCATCTCCACCTTAGGAGTTTCTCTGCCCCTCTTCCTCTCTCTTTCTAGATCATATCACGCTTGCTTGTGTGCAAATTGTATTCCCCCACCTTTAGAGAATAAATTCTTTATAGCCAAGGACAGAGTTTTTTTGTTTTTCTTTTCTTTTGTATTTTCTCTGGGTATCTAGCATAGTCCCTTCAAGTGGTAGGTACTTCAGGAATGTTCTTTAACTGAAGCAGATTATTACAGAATTCAATGTTTTCACCCTCTGGAGACCAAAGAGGCTTGTCAGATCTGGAATACTAAGCTTTTTTCTGAGAAGATACAAGACCTATTATCAGCATTTGGCTACAGGTTTGTTTGGCTTCAGTTCATATCTGGACTTGGTTAAGGAACGATTTATTTTTTCATCCCCATCTTTGGTTAATGAGATCAGCTTTAAATCTCGAGCTTTAGAATCCAAAGTCCCAACCTTCTGGGTTACAAGGTTCACTTCAATGACAATCTATGAATCTCACAAGTCACATGACATCTCTAGGCCTCAGTTTCCTCATCTGTGAAACAAGGACATTGGCCTAGATAACCTCTAAAATTCCTTCCAGCCGGAAATGGATGATCCTACTATTTGCAGACTATCTTAGCAGTGATTGTCTTATTATTGACATAGATCATAGAACATAGAATCCCAGAACTGGGAGGGGCACAAAACACAAGGTCAAGGCTGGAAAGGATTTTAAAACAGAATGTTTGAGCTGAAAGAGAACTTAGAGATTATTTGGTTCAGCTCCCACCCCAAAAGAAGAATGCCTATGGTGGTGACCAGGGAAAGTCCCTGTGGCTTAGATAGCCTAAAACTCAGAATCCTTGTAATTCTCAATTAGAGCCACAGGGTAATAGATTGTCACATACTTCGTGGAAGCAACGGTATATCTGAGTATTATTCTCTGAAGAAGGGTTTTTGTGTGTGTGTGTGTGTGTGTGTGTGTGTGTGTGTGTGTGTACATGGAGGGGAGAGGATTGGGGAGAGGTTACCAAGGCATGGGCAGGGCAGATGTTAAATCTCTGGTTCCTCCTGGTGCTCAGTGGAGGGGTCAGTAGACTCTCAGGGCCTGTCTAGTTATTGAGGAGTGGGCTATGTCTGAGGCACTTACCTTCAATCACTAGCCAGGGTCACTGTGTCCCTAGGCTCACTCACTGTTTTCAGAATCTCTGACCCTTTATTCACTTGAAAACTGGGGAAAGAAGGAATTCCAGAAGCCTAAGACAGCAATTGCATTGTTATTTCATGTTCATGGGTTTATAGACCATTGGTTCATCATGCCCTTCTCTGGCAAGGGGAGAGTCTGTCTTGCAAGGTGAGTAGAACCGGGACCTGATCGATGCAGCACAGCCCTGTGACTCAGTATACGCTTGCGGGGGCCAAAGGAAACCTGACTTCAGACAGGTAAGAGTTTTAATCACAAAGAAAAATCTATAATAATGAAATCTTCCCAGACCACTCTGGCCCACAGAAGTCTCTCTGGCCTCTGAACTCAGAGCTTTTATTTAGGACCTGCGCACCCACTGGAGGACTTAATCACATACTGCCTTGTGACAGCTCTTCAATGGTTATCTTGTATTAGCGATATTCAACTTTTCCTGGGGGTTTGTTTGGCCTACTCCCCTACAGGGGAAACTCCTGGGGGGCTTGTGACCTGTCTTTGTAGTCCCCCACCCCACACTGGGATTTGTACATGGTAGGTAATCAATAAAGATTTGTTGAATGATTAACTGATAATAACAATACAAAAAATTTTATATTACAGCCCCTATATAAATACATTTATTTATAAATAGAATGTATAAATACAACCCCTTTTTACTTTGAAACAATTACTGATTACATACACCTGTTATTTCTTTTTGGGGGGGCATTCTGGGCATCTTTGGTGCCAGGGCTCAGCCCCTCCCCTTGCCTTCCTCAGCTCAGGCAGCCTTCGGTGTGCAGGCTCAGGGAGATGGAGGAGGGCTTCCTAAAAGTGGCAGGTTTAGACACCCCATTTGTGCCTCTCTTCAGGCCACCTACCAGTCAGGGGGAGCTCTGTCCTCACTCAGCTCTACAACCCACATGCCCCCCCCGCCTAGAGCAGATGTATCACAAGCCCTGACAGACTATAATGAATAATAAGAGCTAACATTCATATAACTTACTGTATGCCAGCTACCATCCAAAGCACTTTACAATGATTTCATTTGGTCCTCACAAGAACCCTAAGAGGAAAGTGTTATTATTATCCCCACGTAACAGATGAGGAGACAAGTTAAGTGACTTGTCCAATGTCACATAGCTAGTAAGTGTCTGAGGTTGAATTTGAACTCAGGTTTCCTGATTCCAGGCCCCACACTCTAGGTGGCCCATTGTGCCACTTTGTTGATCATATAGTCCAACACTCTTCGTTTTCTTTTTCTGGTTTTTTTTTTTTTGGCTAGGCAGTGGGGTTAAGTGACTTGCCCAGGGTCATACTTAAGTGTCAAGTGTTTGAGGCTGGATTTGAACTCGGGTTCCCCCTGACTCCAGGGCCAGTGCTGTATACCACCCTTCATTTTATGGAGGAGGAAATAGATGCACAGTGAGGAGAAAGGACTTGCCCAGAATCATATAGTAAGTAGTAGAGACAGAATTTGAACTCAGGTCTTCTGACTGCAAACACAATGTTCTTTCCGCTATGCTTCACTGCCTCCTGACGGTCACAACAGTATAGAGAGCAGAATTTAGTATCAAAGTGATCTTGGTGAGTCACATTTCATATTCTCTCTACAGCAGCCAACAGATGTTCAAAGGTATTGAAGTGGTGAAATAATACTAATACTCTAATAAATAACAAATAAATAGTAGTAAAATAATATTAATATTCTCCCTAATAAATAAGTGAAATAATATTAATACTCTCCCTAACAAGTAAAATAATATTAATACTCTCCCTAATAAATAACTATTGAAATATTAATACCCTCCCTAATAAATAATAGTGAAATAATATCTCTCCCATCCTTCATGTACCCACAACTGCCCCTTTCACTTCCCCTTGCTTCACAATGTAGAGAACCTTTTAGCTAATTAACAACTCGCAGCACTGACGATGGCTATTTGTAAATCATGCACCCTGGCTGTATCTTCCTCATCTCCCTCCCACCAGAACCTTGGACTCTTTCCCTGGAACCCTGAGACAAAGAGAAATGAAATCTATCCCTCTCGGGCTCCACAGAGGAGGGGAGCAGTGTGGTCCAGATCATTCAGAATGAGATAGAATCCTAGGTTTCACAGGATCATAGATAGAGAGCTGGAAATTGCCTTAGAGAAGCTCATATATTCCAAATCTCTCATTTTATAGATGAAGAAACTGAGGCCTGGAGAGAAAGAATGATTTGCTCAAAGCTTCAGCCAGCAAGTAGACCTAGAACACACTTCTCTGTGCTATTTATTTGCATGAAATACAACGTTTCATTAACGATTATATTTTGCTCAGGCTGAGGGCAAGAATGAGTTTGCATTCCTCAAGTGCATATGGAATAGAGAAGAAGGCAAGGGGAAAGAGTATTCTGGAAGTTGGGAATCTCAAATGGCATTTTTTTTAAAAGGGGAAAAAAAGCATAGTGGAGAATCTACACAGCAGATAACTGAGAGTTGACTGTAAATATTGGTCCACATTAATATCTCTTTGGATTGTAAGCTCTTTGAGGATAAGGGTGCCAGAACAGAGCCTGGCACACTTTCCTGTGCAAATGGAAAACTTCAGTTCCTAGAAGTTGCCTCTGTTCCCTTGGCCCACCAAGGCCTTTCTGTGGGCTTCTCTCCCCTGAGCCCTGATTGGTCTAATTTCAGGTGCTTGTAATTCATGCCGCAGGCTGCAGGCAGAATGTAGTTAGAGCTGTATTGCTGTTAACTTATTTGTGGAGTTATTAATTACTGAAAGGCGCAAACCGTGCTTCTTTGCATAAAAATATGTTTGAGCAGTTTCTACTTAAACTTTAAAGAGAACGTTAATCAATTTCATTTTAACAAAATGACCTTAAGCAGGGAAAAAACGATGTTATTTGCCCAAACAGGCAAATTAATTTCCCTCTCTTGAGAAATCTGGAAAATTTCCAGAAATAGCTATGTATAATTTACACCTGCCCTGGTCCTTCCTGAGTTCTGGGCTCAGTCCGACCCAACTTAAGACCCTAGCTGCCCATTAACCTAGACAGAAATGAGACCACGTAGTACCTTAAAGAGAAATCTGCCCTCTCCCTCCTCCTCCACACCCTCCCCCCTCCTTCCCCCAGTCCTTGGTCTTTATTCTCCTCTCTTGGTCTTTGACTGAGACCCTGAGAAGGCACAAGTGAAATGCAGGGGTGTTACAATCTCCAGGAGCTCCGTTCCTGTCAAGGTCACGAAGAAAAAAGCCGCAAGGAAGGGCAAGGCCCTGCAAGGGACTGGGGCTTCTCAGCATGAGGCATCTTGGGAATGGCAAAGATGGAGTCACACAGCAGGTAATTATCCTGCCAACCTCCAGGCTTTGTTCAGGAGGCACGTGACCGAGCAGATGAACGGTGGAGTGGTAAGTTTGCTTATCCTGTCTATTTCCATTCCTCTCTCCTACCCCCCCAAGGAATTACAATGACAGCGGTGTGTCCGAATGTTAAAATGTGGTATATGGTGATTACATTCTAGGATGCCCTATTGCTTTAGAGCAAGCTGGAATGAATACACCAGTGTGATATCGAGAAGCGGGCTCAGTTATTTCTGTACAGGACTGAGACTTTGGAACTCCATCTAAGGATAGTACAGGGATGAGGATCTCCACTAAATCCCTTCTCTGATGCATCACCATAGTGTAGCGGTGACCTGGGGCTCTCTGAGGCCATGCTAGTACAATCTAAGTCCTATCAGTGTCTACCATTCTGGAAAGCCTTCCGATACAGGCTTGGCTGTGTACCTTATGTGAGCTGAGGACCAGCCAAGCAATGTCAGGAGAAACTTGCCCCTCTAGGGGCTGCAGGTGATTACTACTTTGGCCACAATGACCCTCCAAGGCACAGAGGGCCTGGGAAGTCAAAGGTTCTGAAAGTGTTGGAGTTGTGGGGGAAGAAGGAATAAATCTCATGTTATGATGAGGGAGACAGACTATCTAGAGACAGCTATCAATGTTGGCCTTGGAATCAGAAAGACCTGAGTTCAGATCTTGCCTCTATGAACATGGGCAAGTCCCTTACCTTCTCAGCCTCAGTTTCCTCATTTGCAAAATGGGAATTATAATAATGTTGATCTCACAGGATTGTCGTGAGGATTGACTGAGGTAATTTAAAGCATTTTGTAAAACTTAAAGTGATCTATAAATGTTATTATTACTACCACCACACTATACAGGGGCCATGGTTTTCACCTCATTTTGACTGAATCTAAGAAAGAGTGAAGTGCTTTACAAAAGAATTCTGCTCTGTTAAGCTTTTCAGGAGTCTAAATACTTTATCCTTTAGAAAGTATTTTCATATATATTGGGTTATTTACATTCTGAACAAAGGGGTTGTATTTCATGGCCTCTAAGGTCCCTTCTGCTCTAAATCCATGATGCTACAAGTACAAAGGAAGAGGCCCAAGTAAAATGCTGGACATCTGGAGAGGGGATTGTCATAGCTCTAGGCCTCAGTCTTGGTTCCTGCAGAATGGTAGCCTAATGAGGTGGACAGGATGGATATTATAATAGGAATGTTGTAGACAGGATTCATAATAGGTAAGGACTGGATTAGAAGACCTCTCAGATCAGATCATCTCCAGTTCTGAGCTCTATAAATCTGTGATGGTTTTCCCCCCCTTGCCCAAACCCGCTCCCAGAAAAGCAATGTGGCATGGTGAATGGAGGACTGTCCTTGAGGTCATCACATACCAGCTATGTGACTTTGGGCAGATCACACAACTTCCCAGTGCCTTTACAAGTTGTTGGGTTTTTTTTTAAGACTCTAAGTTACGGATGAGAGGCTCATCAGTGTCAGTGGAGAGAATTTCCATACTAGAAGTTCCCTACACTGATAAAATCACAGGTCCAGACTCCTCCCACCCACAAAAAAAGAGATGGTCATCATTTCTCAGATAAGAAAACTGAGGTAAATTGATTTGCCCAAGGTTACACAGGTAGGAAGTATCACAGGTGGGATTTGAATCCAAGTCTTCTAGATTCCAGAGCCAATGTTCTCTCCATTATACCATACTGTCTGTTATCGAGGGTCAGGCAGCAAGATAGTTTAAGAGCTTGATTTCAAGCCCAAGGCTCTTTCCATCAACCACAAATCACCTATGCCCTCGAAAGCTATACTTTGGATTTCAAAGGAGATTCAAGTCCTTTGCCATGTTCTCTTCTCATAAGTAGAATTTGGATCAGTTTTAGTTTTTGTCAACTAAAGTCTATCTCTTCTTTGTTATGTGCA